CAGCTTGCCAGCTGGGTCTTTCCCCAGAGCGGCCAGCAGGGCTACATGCTCCTCTCATCCACAGGCGCGGTGGGGCCAGGACATTTGGGAAAGAGGAGGACAAAACCCAGAGTAGCCCTGCTCCCTCCTGAAAAAGTCTATAAGTTGAAGGAACCTTGGATACCCTCTCATCCAACCTTCCCCTTTGTTTTTGTGGAGAATGAGGTGCAGAGATCAAGTCAGTTACCCAAGACCACAGTGATGCTAGGCCAACCTGGGCCACGAACTCTGGGCTCCTCACTGTGGCCAAGCTCTCCCGCTGCAGTCAGTGGCCTTGCTATTTACTGGCCTCCCCTTCTCTGCAGTGGCTGCTGAAGCCTAGCTGCTTTGGGTGCATAAAAGCAATTTATTTTATGAAGCAAATACAAAGCTTTTTGGTTTTGACTCACTAGATGGCCCAGACAAGCCTGAAGACGCAAAGGGTGCCGCAGAGAAGCCACCCAAAGGGTCTGGGCGACCCAGGGCCAGCCACCAACATGGCTTGGGGAGAACTAAAAATCAGAGTGAGCTGAGAGAAAGTTAGGGTTCCTGAGCAACGCAGAGAATCTGTCCTGGGTATCGACTTCTTAAAAGATATTCTAAATTATTTTAAGAAACCACAGGGTGGTTAATGCTAGTGAGTTTCAGCTGTTTTAATCAGTTGATGTATTACAAATATGTATTTGTGCCCAGCTAGTGTCGCTCAGTGGTTGAGCACTGACCCATGAACCAGGAGGTCATGGTTTGATTCCCGGTCAGGGCACATCTCCAGGTTGCTGGCTCCATTCCCAGTAGGGGGCGTGCAGGAGGCAGCCCATCAATGAATCTCTCTCATCAATGATGTTTCTATCTCTCTCTCCCTCTACCTTTCTCTCTGACATCAATAAAAACATATTTAAAAATAAATGTAAATATATATGGAAGTGATGTGGGCTTTATCGATTAGTGCGAGTATAACGGGGGAAAGGGGCTGTTTTGGCCCCTGGTACCTCTGCTGGGATGCCTTCCCCAGGTAAATTAGGTCAGTGGTTCTCAGCTGGGATGACCTCCACCTCAGGGGACGTTTGGACATTTGTCAGTGTCTGGAGACGTTGTTGGTTGTCACAAAAGGAGGGAATGGAGGAAGGGTGGTACTAGCATCCAGTGGGTAGAAGCCGGCGATGCTGCTAAACATCCCACAATGCACAGGACAGCCTCCCCACAACAAAGGACTATCCGGCCCAAAATGTGAGACGTGCTGAGGTGGAGATGCCTGGATGAAGTGAAGCCATGGATGCTTTCAGGAAAAACCGCTGGATGGCTGTGCAGCCGGCGTGTCCCTGCAGTGGCATTCTCCGTGGCACCGGAGAGGGAGGCCACGGGTCTTTGTTCTCCGGGCTGTACAGCCATATGCGACAGCAAGGAAGCCGCCGATGGCAGGCCTGATGGCTCCGGCGCGAAGGGGCTGGCCCTCCTTTGATTTACCCCTCAGGACTCCAAAGGGACGTTTCCCTTTCATTATCTGTGGCAATTTTCTGCACAGATGATTACACTAGTGGATTTGTCTTAAATAAAAGACATGTTCCTGAAAAGTTGCGTTGGTTAAATCATATTTTAAGGACATTCAGTAAATACTAAGGAGCCAATGACTTTTTAAAGTGAAAGGTCTGTTTAAATAAAGTCCTATTCTTAAAGAGGAGCATCCCTATAGATTGCATTTTTAATGCAAATACTTTATTTTTCCTGTGCATTACATTTTTATCTCAGCGCGCCATAAAAATGATATAAGAGGAACAGTTTCTTTTCCTTCTTCCTGTTCCTGCCCCTATTCTTTCCCTTTAAAGGAAAAATTAGGGGGGAATTAACAATAGAGTCTCAGAATTTAGGAAGGTCATTGATCAGTCTAGCCATTATACAGTTCAAAAGACGCCTGCTGGGTTACAAATTGTTAGAAAATAGGACTTGGTTCCATTTTGAAATCATTAATTTTTTTATCTCACTTTTTTTTTTTTTTTTTTTCAGTTACTGACCTTTGGCTAGAAAGAGCAGGTGCACCGGTCCCTCCATCACCCGTGGGTGTTTGCTGCACCACAAACATTTGATAAGACTCAGCCTCTACCACGGGGTGGGGTGGGGTGGGGTGGGGGGACCGGTGTCAGCAGAGATAAGGGGTGGCACTGAAGGAACCCAGCGGTTCCCTCCTTATCAATCACTGCCCTGGGCAACATCCCTCTGTGTGTAAGTCGCTGGCTGACCCCGCAGGGCAAGGGGCAGGAAGGAGGAAATTTATTTGATAAAGCTGCCATTAGTGTTACTTCCCTGACAGGGGCTTCCACAGAGGTCTGACCCAGTGGGGACAAAGCCACTGCCACTGGGAGGAGCCGGCCCAGACGAGAGGCTCCAGGCAGATCTGGGCCGACCTCCCCCTCCCACCTCCACCCTCCCCCACCCCCGCAAGGAGGGAGGGGCTGGGGCAGAGATGCTAGCATGACCCGGATGTCAGCTGCCCGGGTCAGGACAGCGCTGGTGTGGAGAAGCCTGGAGTCCCCGTGAGAGCTGGTGTCACGCTCGCCTGCTCCTAGAGCCCTTGCCCTCCCAAGGCCCCTCCTCACAGTTGCCCATTTCGGTCTCGCAGACCCCGGTGGGGAGGAAGGAGGTCATGGAGAGCATCCTTTTACAAATGAGGAAGCCCAGCACCAAGGAAGTGAGTCCCCGGCTCAGGTCACTCACGGGAAGCACCACATGCCAGGGACTGTGCTACGTGCTTTCCTCATTACCTCACCTGAGCCCCCCACACCTCTGTGAGGCCTATGGTCATGCGAACCTGCCTAGCTGCCTAGCAGATAAGGAAACTGACGAAGCTCCGAGATGTGAGTAACTTGCTCAAGGCCACGTCTCCGTCTGCCCAGCCTGTCAGACACAGCCCCACGGTGTTCCTTTCTCTCGGTTCTGGGCCTGGGTCCGGTAGAGCCCTCTTCCTGGCTGGTGGAGGCCGCCGGGTCGCAGGCCTTTCCTCCGAGTCCTCTGGTCCCTTCCTGTAGGGCACTAACCCTGTCAGAGCAGGGCCCACCCTTAATTACTTCCCAACGGCCCCCTCTCCTAACAGTGACATTGAGGGTTGGGGCTCCAACATGGGAATTGGGGGGCTGGGGCCGGCACAGTTCAGTGCTTTCACGGCGGGATTGGGGTCAGCCATCTCACCCACTGCTTGCTCTCCTGGCCATGAGGCTCGCTGGGCCAGAGAGCGGGGCTGGGCAGAGACCGCGGGCCATGGAGCTTCTCTCCATCGCTGACGCTGACCCTCCCCAGTGTCTCTCCTTCCAACTTGCTGCCTTCCCTCCTGGGCACAGGCGATGCTAGGAAGGTCCTCGTTTCACAAAATGTTCTGACTCTTGATTGGTGCCAGGGGTAAGTCGGTGCAGGCGAGGGAAGGCGCTTGAAAGACCATCCTGGTCCTGGCCATGTGTCCAGTTGGTTGGAGCATCAACCCCAACCAAGGTCGCAGGTTCCATCCCTGATGGGGGCATGTGTGGGAGGTGTCTGACTAATGTTTCTCCCTCTCTCTCTCTCTCTCTCTCTCTCTCTCCCCCTCCTCTGTCTACCTTCCTCTCATCAGTAATTTTTTAAAGAAGATCATCTGGAGCCCAGGAACAAAACTCAGGCTATTATGGGAAAAGCAAAAGAAGCCCAAGGCTGAGCCCTGAGGGCTGGTTCCCTTGTAGCAGCAGCGGCTTTGTACCAGGCCCAGGCAGGCCTCTCCCTGGTGTTGCTGGTTGAACACAGTCATGTGGCCCAATTCCTGGGCTCCAGGGGCAAGGTCATAGTCGCCTGTCGCTCGTGGGGGGTGGGGGGGATGAGAAATTAATGCACATGGGCAAGCCACCCACTGAGCCAGCCATCGCGGTGCCCGTCGGCTCCTCATTATTAAGACTTTGCAGTAAAAACAGCTGTGTAGACTCCTGCTCAGGCTTCCAGCACCGAGCCAAGCAGCAGACAGGCATCCATCCACCTGGAATGTCTCCTCACAAATCAGAGTATCTGTGTGCTGCTCGAGACTGTGTTCTCTTCCTCGCTCTCTCACGCCTTACTGTTCCCACTTGCTTCATAAAGGTAGACTTAAAGCGGGGGAGGGGGAGTCCTAATTAAAAAAAAACAAAACACTAAGATCAACAACAGACCACAAGACAGCATTCAAAAATGAAAGTGTGTCATTTTGAGTCAGGGTGTTTTCCTGAGCAGGATGCAAGGATGATTTCTTTCCCGGGCCCTTGTCTAGATGGATTCGAAGGATAAAGCCACGACAAGAGGTGGTAGATGAAACGGGTGGGAATGTATTGGAAGCAATTACAGACTCGCACGTAGGGAAGGGGTTCCCAGGGGATAACCCACTAAACCTGCCTATTTTATCCCTAAAATTCCTTTCAGTTTTACCTCCGGACACCGTCAAATAAAGGTGGGGTCCGTGGGGAACCGCTCAGCTCACGGTGCCCGGAGGGGCCTGCGCTTTCCTAGCGGTAACGGGGGCTGTCACAGTGCTGGGCGTGTTTTCCCTCGCGGAGGCCCTTCCCTCTCGCTTTCTGTCACTCCGCCCGCCGGAGAGTTACTAACAGCCTTCGCTCCGGGTGGAGAGGAAACTGACACGGGGCTTCCAGAGCTCGGCGCGTGGTCCCGGGGGTCACAGAGTCAGCTGCCTGCAGGCTCCATTCCAGAGAAGCCCCAGGCGTCTTCCCAGCTAGTTCTAATCACACACTCACTCACACACTCACACACACACACACACACACACACACACACATACACACACACACGTTTTCAAGTGCAATTCGACCTGGAACATTTGGGAAACGGAGGTGCTCGTTTCCATGAGTCATTCCTCTTCCCAGCAGCAGGGCTGTCTGGAAGCGAATCTTGTGTCCCAAGCGGCGCGCAGGCCCCGGGGTCGCCGGCATGTGTGTCGTGCCCGTCGCTGCCTCGCTCATCGTGTCCCTGGTTGGCTTTTGCAGGTGTGGCAGTTGTGGCGCCGTGTTCCATTCCGAGTGCAAAGAGAAGTCTGTGCCCTGCCCGAGGTGTGTCCGCCGGGAGCTGCAGAAGAAGCAGAAGTCGTTCTGGCGGAGGCTGAACGTGGACGAGAGCCTGGAGGAGGCTTGCAGCATGTTCGAGCTGTCCTACCCGAACACCTGACCCGGCGGGGCCCGAGGTCGGGGTGACCCCTCGGTGATCCACTGGCCCCGAGGCTTCCTGGCGGCCAGGCAGGCCCCTTCCGAAGAAGAGTGCGTCTCATCTTCAGCTGGACATAGATACATACTTACACATCTACACGCGCACACACCTGTAGGGACGTTCTGTGTACACCCATGTCCGAAAGGTCCACGGAGCCTCTGTGGCGCCAACAACGACCAACAGCCACTTACACTCAGCCATGAACCTCAGCTGCTCGCTCCCGGGCAAAACGTGGTTTACACACAATGCTTCACGCGGGACTGTTTCTTCTCCTTTTTTGTTTTTTGTTTGTTTTGCTTGTTTTTTGTTTTGCTTGTTCTTTTGGCTGTCAGGGCCACGGGCCAGGAAGGAAGTATTATTACACGGAACAGCAGGCTTGGGCTACTTTCATGTTATTTATTTTTAGCCTTCAGGGCCGATGAGGTAACTGAGGCAGGCACATCACCACGTTTCCCAAGAAAGGCTCCTAAACCCAGGAGTGGCGTGGGATCCCTCCAGGACCCGGCATCTCGCCCCGGCTCTCCCCCAGAGGTGGGGGTCCCCTATGCTGAGCCACAAGGCTTGGAAATCAGTGGTGCAAGCTCCCCCTGAAAGATAATCTGCACCCCTAAGTTATCGGGAGAGCTAATCCTGGTTTTGAAGTCCGTGTCAGAAAAGTGTTTTTCTTGACAAAGAAGAGACCTCGGCGGCCAATTACTGCCGTGGTTGCTCTGTTTGCTGGTACGAACCCACCTCGCCTAGTGATGCAGCGGCCGCCACAGTCCCAGGTTGTCCCCGCGGCTCTCCTGTGAGCATCTCTCCGGGGCTCGGGTGACACGTATGACATGTTAGTGGAGCTGGCGTGGGGAAATGTCCGAGGCTGTTAGGACATCGGTGTGTAGACTGGTACATATCGAGCGCATGCATTCCAACAGACGGTCTGCAGTTTCTTTCCACAGAATCCTGTGCAGGCAACTCCTACCTGTTCGTTGTAAATGCTTTGTTTCTCATTGCTCTTCATTGCCCTTTCATTTTGACCTTTGTCAAGTTAACCACTTCTACTTTCATCTTTTCTTAATCTTAAAAAAATAATTCACAGGAACCTGGAACTTCAAAATACCAACCTTAGACTATTAAGAAAATACCAAACTTATAAATATAATTAACAAATTCAATCTAATATCATCTAAATACATACATATATACGTATATAATTGCCATTTTAAAGTAAAAAAAAAAAGTGCTAAAACGATAGGAAGAAGGGATATAACACCGATTGGCCGCCTGGCAGGGGAGTCCTCCCACTGCAGTGCCCACGTAGGGAGCGCTGTGCCGGAAACAGCGGGCACGGGGGCCCGGAAACCATGGCTCCCTTCCGTCCTCCTCACCTCTTCCCAGGACAGGAAAACACGCTCACGTCGAAACGACGGTACATTGAACCCCATCCCCTTGCTCCCCGCAGGCCCCGGCCCAGGACCCCTCTGCCCATTGAAGAACGCAACGTTTCCCACCGACTTTGGTGCAGACTGTCAGTTGTCAGCATTCCGCCTCCGGACCCGTGCCAGCTCCCTCGCCCCGGACCACACATTTCCCCTGACAGCTCAGCGCCACGCGCGCGTTTGCTTTCTGATCACACAGTAGCTGAATCCAAGGCCTGAGACTTGTTAAGAGGCGGGGGCCCCTTCACCAGACGCCTCCCGGTGCCTTTTACTCTTGGAAAGCAGGTTGGCTCCCCCGACTGCAGCTACAGAGAGAGGGAAAGGGCGGGGGAGCTCAGCAAGCGCTTGGCAAACAGGCGAACAAACCCGATCGTCTCCTCTTTCCTCCTCCCCTTGGTGAGATAGAGTATATTTTTTAGCTCAAAGAAGACCAGGATCTTTCACGAGAGAATTATGGACCTGCTTATTACAATGCAGATGTGCTCCATGGCAAAGTGCCTTTTCCCTCACCCTCGCCCGTCCCCCTGTCCCCCCACATCTCCCCCATCCCTGCGGCTCCTTCTGCCTCGGCTGTAATTAATGCATCTGCAACTCCAGCTGTCAGCGGGGCGACCCCCCGCACACTGCGCTTGCAGACCTGAGCGAGGGCCTCTCCTCCCTCCTCCCGTGTTTGCCCCGCGCCCAGAACTTCCTGTCCCACCTCCGGGCACGCAGGGTCAGACCTGCCGCCAGGCGCCAGGCGGTAAAACCCTGGGTCCCTGTTCTAAAGGCCTTTGTTGCTGCAGGGCCCCGCTCAGCGTCCGCAGCCCCTGCGAACCGGGGAGCTTTCCGCTCACATCGTTTTCTGCTTATTTTCAAAAGGGAAAAAAATAGATGGGCTATCGCCACCCAGAACTGGCACCGCCTCCCAGGGCTTCTGTTTTCTCTCCTCGCGGTGCGTTTCTGACAGCCTGGCCGGTGCCCGCGCGGGCCTGCACCAGGCTCGATGCTCGCAGCCACCACCACACCTGCCAGGCCAGCACCTGCGGAGCCGGCTTGGGCGCTGGGTCTGCCCCGAAAATTCACAATTGCTGCTTTCGGCCCAGAACGCCCTCATGCACGTGAACGCCCCTACTGTCTCCAGCTCTGACAGCCGCTGGGTGGACGGCGAGGGTTGTCCCACCGCTTGGAAACTGTCGCAACAGAAGCAGACCTGTGACCCCCACCTCGCACGCCACGCCGACGCCCGCCTTTTCTCCCCGGTGAACTCGCCCGCACAGCAAGCCCACGAGAAGATGCAGTGCGTCTCCCGGAGCTGGCGGCCCACTTTTCACTGGAAAGGCCCCTCCCTGCCGTGGGGCTTGAGGAACTCCCTCCTCCCAGCGCCAGAGACCAAGTGTGAGACCGTCCAACCCTGGTGAACGCTGGCACCTACCCCTGCAGCACAGGAGCCAGCTCCTAAAATAGCCCTCGCTGCACGGCTGCAGCCGGCCACACGGCACTTAAGAAGCAGGCAGCCGGAGTGCGGCGCGTGTTCTTCCCAGGGCCGCCTCTCCCCACATTTCAAAGCCTCTTTGTATGAAAACCATGTAAACACGCGTCTCCCCGTGCTCCGCTGCCTTTCGGGGGACCGCGTCACAGCCCTTTTCATGTCTGCGGCGCTGACGGCTAGTCTTCCCGGGAGCTGTCCTATTTGATTAGCTGAGGAGGTAACCCCCTTGGATTGTTCTAGACCAGGCCTCCCCAGAAGGGCATGGTGCCGGCACCTGGGATCTGTGGCTCCCCACCAGCTCGGCGGTGCCCGCCAGCCTCCGGCAGAGGGGCTGCGTGCGGACCGAGGCCTGGCATCACTGGCTGTTGCCAGCGGCCTTGGCTAAGCTGACGGAGTCCCTGGACGGGGACCGGCCTCTGTTCTTGTCTCCGTATGTACGTGCTGAGCATTGTCACCAGAGAGGGTCCTCCCGGGCCTCCTGGAAAAGGCGTGGCTCCCAAACCTCTGGGTTTGCTTTCGACCCCCTGGCCGGAAAGGCCCGTGGGAACTACTCACTGTCAGGGCGGGAACCGCGCCCTGCCACGCGGACCTCCCTGCAAAGGGCGCCCCCCGAGGAAGCCCAGGTACGTTCTGCCCTGATTTAGCGAAAGCTGCTGCTGCTGTTGGTGTCGGGCCGAATGACTCATGGCCCTGAGCTGCCCACTTCACGGGAGTAGCCGGATGATGAAGTAACCCTTCTGCTCCTGCTCGAAGGCTGCCTGGAGTCAGCACAAAGGCTCCTTTATTTTATACTTCCCTCCTCCCAGTAAAGAGAGATGCATGCCGTTTCCCCCTTCTTTTTCTGGAGTCTTCTGTCTCAGTACTTTCCTTGCTCTAAGGTAATGTGAAAAAGTAGAGGTCTGGGGGCCAGGCTGGCAGAAGCGAACGCCGCCCTCCGTGGCGTGGCTCGCGTCGTGAGAAGTACGGACTCTTCTCCGCTCCGGGGTACTTGCTCAAGCCGGGCGTCAGGAGCTGCCCGTGTGCCCCGGACGCTGCCCCTCACCCCAGGCAAGCGGAACTAGCTGCTCGGGCTGAACCCAGAGATGGGTGACCAAGCCCGACGCAGGTCATCGGAACAGACCACTGTTGATTGCTCTCGTGGGGGACGGTATATGGACAGTTAGCCCAGCGCCCGGCAGCCTTCTTATCGGTAATTCTAGTTTCATTGTATTCAACTATCTCTAACTTGAGGGGTTTCATGTGTGTTAGTGAGATTTTACCTTGGCAGGTAAAATCCAAGTCACTGTTAAACTCTAGGCAAACGTCAAAAGAAATGTGTGAAATACCCGACCCCTCAGCACCCCTGTAGTTGCTGTCAGGGGTTTTATTTAAAATGGGTCCCAAGAGACCACGATCCATGGCACCTGCCCGATGAAGTGGCCTGGGTGTGGTAGGAGGCATTGCTAAACTCCTGCTAAGCTCAACCGAGGCGACAACCGCCGTTTCGCTTTGGTTCCTCCCTTTGGAAAGAGCTGTCTCACCCTGGCTGGTTTGGCTCAGTGGGTAGGGCATCGGCCTGCAGACTGAAGGGTCCTGGGTTCAGTTCCGGTCAAGGGCACATGCCGGGGTTGCAGGCACGATCCCCAGTAGGAGGCATGCAGGAGGCAGCTGATCAATGATTCTCCCTCATCATTGATGTTTCTCTCTCCCTCTCCCTTCCTCTCTGAAATCAATAGGGAGGGAGGGAGGGAGGGAGGGAGGGAGGGAGGGAGGAAGGGGTCATCTCGTTAGACTGGGAGGGAAGCCAGTAGTTGCAGGTAGAAGGTCAGGTGCCCACAGCTGCTCAGCCCAGAGCAGCGGCCTTCCCGCCGGCCGCAGAGCTGCAGACCAGCCGCCCTCCCTGCCCTGCTCCTCCTGCCCCCAATCCTGAGCTCCAGCCTAGATTTGGCCTCATGGCTAGTACCCCAGCTAGTGCCCAGCTGGGCCCGTGGCTCCTCCACCCCGGCCACCCCATCCCTTCCCCGTAGGAGTGCCTTATAGAACCAAACGCCCAGCGCTTCTAGCCCATCTGACCCCGTGAAGCCGGCAGGGCCCTCTGCCTGCACATGGATCCCGTTGCCCCTGCCCTGCTGGCTGCTCTTCACTCAGATCCCTCAGAGCCTGCGCCCGCCATCGCACGTCTGACCTTTCACCTTCGTTAACCTGGTGCCTTACGCTCCCGAGTGAAAGGGGTTCCTGTCGGAAACACACTGTTACGGCAGAGTGGCAGACACGTTGGCCTCTTAGCTCCACTGGACCAGGAAACACAGGAGATACAAACCACATGTTTTAACTTTGATGCTGCTTCTTCAATCACTCTGTTTGTCTGCTTGCTCTCATTAACGAAACTCAGGGGACTGTCACGATGTCACCGAGGCCAGTGGGAAGAGAAATCGAACCAGTTATCCAGATTTGAATCTGGGAAAGTCAGTGAACGTGGCCGTGTTCAGGTTGAGAAGTTACATAAACATGAGGATTTTTTCTTTCTTTCTTTATATAAAGGTTGGTTATTTTGCCACCCGCTTTCCAGTGAGAAGTGGGAAGGCTCTCGGGGAAATGGTGATAAAAATGTCTCTGTGCAGGTCAGGCAGGCCACTGAGCTATTGTTACATTGGGCTTTCCCTGCTGGAGGCCTAGGTTCTGCTTTTGGTCATCTATCAGAATCCTATTGTGGATAGCCAGTGGCCTGCTGCGGGAAATGTACGAGAAGAACCTGTCTTGCAGGGAGGGTGAGACGGACACGCAGAGCTGCAGAGGAAGACGCTGAGCACGGCGGGGGAGGGCCTGCGCGCTGGCGCTCGCGCTCCTGGGTCCGAACTGTCATTGCCCCTCCGTTCTGCTCGGGCACCACGGAACGGACTACAATTTTGGGGTCGGGCTACTCTATCACCCTGGGCTGAGCGATGTGTAATAGCTGACGTGCTAACTTACGCAGGCGTTGTTTCTGTTTTCTGGATTTCATGGCCCTTTGTTTTGGCATCACTTATCCATACTTTTGTTTACATCATTTTTTAAATATCCGTAACTGTAATAATATGAAATGAAGTTGTACTGTTGACCAAACCACTCGTTTTCATGGCTATCTGTTATATAATTTAAGTGCACCAGTTCCCAATGTATAAAGTTATCTCGCCCTCAATAAACAATGCGGAAAGTACTTTCTCTTCTCATAACAACTTCATTAAATTAGTGTTTTAGGGGGAGCTGTGGGGGGGGTGGCGGGGTGGAAGCCCAGGATAAGCCCTGGGTGTTCATTCAAAGTCAAGATTTGAGCTTCATTGAGAGTGAGCTACTGGGACTTTAAAATATCTCTTAATATTACTCTTACAGAGAGACTGGTCTTCGATAAATTCATCCATCTGTAACATTCTCACCAGCCCTTCCTATGTTTACGAAAGCCATAGCATAATGTTTTTTAAATGCAGATACTGTGCTATTGGCCTTATTTTACGAATCAAATCTGCCAAAGCTCAGGGATGAAGTGTCCTTCCGCCAGAGCTCCCTGTGCCCTGACCTTCTCGCCCCGGTTTCCTCTCACCTCTGCACTCTCCAAGCCAGACGGACAAGTGCCGGGCAGGAGCCACTGGGCAAGAGCAGTCCGCAGACCCGATCTGGGGAGCAAAGAGTGAGAAGTAAAGAGGGGGGGTGTGTGCGCGAGCAGCCCTCTGGGAGGCGAGGAGTGATCAGAAAGGTCCGCCCTACCTTGCCTGGACTGGCCCTCCCCCTCTCCCAGAAAGGCCATGGGTGCAAGAGCTGCAAGGAACCCTGCAAAAGCACCACTTAAACTCGCTTTCTCAAAGAAAGACATGGGCGAGACTAGAAAAGGTGCTGCTGGTTAACCATTCACCACAGGTGAGCCCTGCGCCTCCCTCCCCAGACACACCTAGACACGTTCCTGCCCGGCCGCCCGCCTCCACCCGCCGGAAACCAACTGGGGCTCACACCCAGGCTGTCCAAGGAGCACCCGGACTTCATCCTCACAGGAAACCTGACGCGACCCACGATAAAGAGCAGCGAGTTAATGTTTCACTGAACCGAGCTAGACACCCGACGCGGTCAGAGCCCCGACTCCTCTGGTTTGCAGGGCGAGTTTGCTTTGCCCCAGCTGCGGGAAGGAGTGGCTGGGTCACTCAGGCAAGTGTGGGCATTCGCACAGAGGAGACATGCAAAGGCGTTTCCCGGGGGTGGAAAGGGTGGAAAGAAACACCACGGTCTCTCCCACCCTCCGGAGATGGGATGTCAATCTCCCTTCACGGCCCCACCCCACCTGTCCTTTCCACAGTGGCTCAAGGTGGTGGACTGAATCAGTGGTTCCCACGTTAGAAACACAAGAAAAAAAGCACTATGTCAGGAACCCATCACAGACCACTGAATCCGCACCTCTCTGGATGGGGCGTGAGTGTTTTACTTCTTAAAACTCCCTGAGTGATGCCCATGTGTCCTGACAGGTAAGGACCACCAGGTTAAATGCAGCCAGGTGCCCAGAAATGGACACCCTGGGGCCCACAGAGGGAAGGACGTCAAGGGGTGTGGAGGGAGATTGGCCCTGGTTGTCCCCTTCCTGTCCTCCTAGCAGAACAGCACTTTGGAACTTGCTGCTCGCGGACTGCAATCATTTCCATAAAACCTTACCTTTATATCCTTTTTATATTCTTCCAGGGTGTGGTTAGTTTCCATTTAAGCAGCATATCCTATCGCCAGACAGCCTAGTAAACAGACGTGGCCAGGTCACGGCCACAGGTGACTGAGCTGGCTACGGCGGGAGTCTCTGCTCTCCCTTTCATTTTCCCATGCTTCCTGGTTAGGCTGCAATTGTCCTCAAATGCAGGCCTAGGAGAGTCCCAACCAATGAACGTGAACCTCATCCCTCTGGAGGAATGGAAAATCACTAGGTGCTTCTTGCCCAGAAAGGCCTGGAAACTTCAGGAAATCTTGAGCTGTGTCCAGATTTACCTTGGTTCCGTAGAAGAATGATTTTACAGTGAACCAGAGTCATTCCAAACCCAGGCACCTACTGAACTGATAATTTTCAACCTCAACTGCCAGTTACAGGGGAATGACATCAATACTATAAGAATGACAATAATCCTCACTGATGGGACACTTTTCCAAAGGGTTCAGAGTCTTAGAAATGATGTGATCTACATGCTCACCATGCCCACCACATGGCGAACACCCACAGCAGCAAAGCATTTATTTTGAATGAATGAATGAATGAATGAATGGATGAGATCACTGCAGGGAGCTGGCAGTGCCAAGGGGCAGGAAGGCACTAGAGGTGACCTTGGGTCTACCAGGGTCTCACCTGAACTTGTTCTAAAGCAGCATCATTAGAAACTACATTCCTGATTAGGAAAAGAAAATAATTTTCCATATATTTTTATTATTACATTCAATTGTCATTGGGGACAACTCCTCCCCGAGGAGAAGAAAGGCTGGGTGCGTCACACCCAGGAAGCCCGAGGCAAACACACCCAGCAGCAAGACCTCGTTCCTTCTCCCGTTTGCACCCATTTCTTCACAGCCGAGGCCGGGAAGTCCAGCAGGAGAACACGTGATTCCCAGGCTGCGCACACAGAAATTCTGATTTATGTGCACTGACTTCCAGTGTACCTGGACAATAGGGAAATCCATGACTCCTCCACCTTTATTTCACACCCCTCCATTAAGGGCTTTTGATTTTAAGCAAATCAGCTCGAGTTCACGGGTTCATACCCTGTTTCAGATGCTGCCATACGCCCCCGGGCAGCCGTGGGCCGGGGAAAATTCCTCCAGCTTTTGCCCCACGCTCCCAGACAGACCGGTCCAGAACCGCTCTCAGGGACGCCCATGTTCTCCCAGGGCCGTCTGTTGTTCTGCAGCTGAAAAGCTGCTATTAGCACCGTAATTTTTTCAAATGAACATTGAGCTAAATTATCTCAAACGTATAAAGGAACATCTCTCACTGTGTTATGGAAAATTGCCTTCCAAATTACAAGACTATACAAAGCACATATTAATTTGGGGCCCGAGGACATCCAAATTGCCTTCGCTCCCATGCTGTATCGTGATGACACCCTCCTAATAATGTCAGGTTGCGAGGACGCCGCAAGGTGCACGCCGTCGGGAAAACAGACCAGAAGCTTTCTCCGTGAGGACCGCCGCTCGCGCGCACAAGCCCAGCAGAGGCATTTTGCTCTGAGATTCAAGCCTTTTGCAGAGGAAATAAATTCCAATTGCACAGGCAGGGGAGTGAATTGGAATTCTAAACTGGGTCAACCTCCCCAAAGGGCTTTCTCGCTGCCACCCAGGAGGGAGGCACCCGAGGAAGCAGCCCCCGCAGCCCGTGCCCAGCGGAGACGCCTGACGACTGTGTCTGGAAGGAGCGCCCACTCCTGCATGTTCACGGGGAAGGGAGGGCAGGCACCGGCCGACAGAGCTTGCCAAGTGCCAATGCGTGTAGTGAGCACGTGTGGACATGTGGTCCGACATCGGCCCCGCCCAAATCGCCCCAGACCGGCCCCCAGCACCCCGATAGTCAGCTCATACAGCCCACCCGGGGCGTTCGCAGTGAGCATGATTAGATTTTGCCTGGTTTGTTTCGCCTCCTCTAGCTTTTCAGTTTCTTACTTTGCAGAAATATCACAAAGCAAATCCCAGACATCATGCCACTGATGCCCACGTGCTGCAGCTAAAGAAGTGTTTATTTTTTGTCCATAGTCACAACGCCATTACACACCTCACAAAAGTTAGTCATTCCTTGTTATCATCTGATGCTCAGCTCAAATTAAAATAATCTCATTGTCTTAAAAAGATCTTTTTTGTATGTCTGTTCATGCAGTAAGACTTTTACAAAATAAATATAAGAATATGTGTGCCCCGCCTTGATAAATTAAATAAATTGGTGCCTTCCCAGCTTCTCCCCGCCCCCTCCCCCCGCCCCCGTCATTATTATACAGGTGCCCACTTCTCCTTCAGAGGACAGTGCCCCCCCATTCCAGGGGGACCTGGTGGGCTGTCAATCAAAGTCCCCTTTCTCTTTGGACCCACAGCCGGAGCTGGGCCAGCGAGAATTTTAATCTTGAGGGAAGCACACACATTGATTGCAGCGTCTGAAGGGTTGTCCGTTAGTTCCTGCTCCCTGGAAACCCCCCTGAGCCCTGTTCTTTTATTGCTCAAATGCTATGAGGGAGGCAGCAAATGGCTCCTCTCCAGTTAAGAGCTGCTTTCTGACACAATGTCTTTCCCATGCAACGTCTCACTGCAGTTTCTCCGGTCTCCCTGCATTTGCAACCTCATCCTGACCTAGGCACCGGGCAGACAGCCCCGTGAGCCCTGCCGGGCCCGTTCTGGCCGCTGTATTCAGAAAGCAGTGCCACAGCTGGGAGAGGTACTTCTGCAGGAGCTTGCCACAGCCCCACCGCCACGTAGCAAAGGGTGCTGAATGCCTGACTACTGAGACAACCTGCTCCAGAAACAACTGGTTCCTGCGGATCTGAGTGGAGAGAACCATTTATTTGCAGACACGGCAGTTGACCCCCAGGGTAGTGAGGTCCCATCTGCTTCCTGGGGGTCCAAGTTCCTGAGCCAGCACCCTCATCCTTGTGGGCAGATCCCTCCATTCCTCACCCATCCCCCAAGATGCCCTCACCAAAGATTTTATAATTCTTTGTATATAGACATAGATAGATAGATACATAGATTATTGATTTCAGAGAGGAAGAGAGAGATAGAAACATCAATGATGAGAGAGAATCATTGATTAGCTGCCTCCTGCACACCCCCACTGGGGATGGAGCCTGCAGCCTGGGCCTGTGCCCTGATCGGGAATCAAACCGTGACCTCCTGGTTCACAGGTCGATGCTTAACCACTGAGCCACACCAGTCGGGCAAGACTTTAGTTCTTTTGTGGGAGGACTATTTCACTTTAAAGCCTAAGATATTCTTTAAATAAAATTTCAAAGCCCAAGATTCTGTGAGATAGAAGGGCCTCCCTAAGAGGCCTCCCAAATAAAGGCTGTGGAGATGCTGTCTAGGAAACGCCGTGGAGTGCAGTGTGGTTCGCTGGGCACATCGCTGGGCACCCTCTTTTAATCAGCCATTAATGACTGTTTGATTAAGATTGTAATTTAATGCAGGCAGGAGCCTAAGATTATCTCTCATTATGGTCAAAACTTT